GGAACCAAGGGAAAAGAGGTGGGGCTTTGGCTCTGGAGACGCTCTCTGCTGGCTTCTTATTCATCTGTGCTGTTCTCCCTCAGGATGGAGCCTGCCTCTATCACGGCCCCACCTCCCCTTGTCCCCATTTCACCCAAGGTTCCCTTATTCACTCTGGACAGTGATTTCTCATGGAAAGGATTGGGTTTAAACTGCTTGCTGAGGTAGAGGAGAAGAGTGAAGCAAGGAGGTGACAGCAATCATTGCATTCTATCTTCTCGCAGGCTGCCTTCCAGTTTTTAATGCCACAGTCAGCAGACCCACTACCTGGAAATGTTCTTGAGAACTCAGCCTGTGGACTGAATCATGGGCGGATTTGGTAACTTCAAAGCTGGCGCCAGTCTGGCGGCCCTTCCCTTGCTATTAGAGTTATCTTAATGCATTTCAAGAGAACTTCGAATTATAATACACTTATCTTCACTGCAGCACTGTTAGTGCAAAACTTTCTCAGGAACTGGAGCAGCCTCTTGAGATGCCTCTTGAGATGTGACATTAGGGACTGACTCAGTTCCGCAGTTGCAATGCTTCTATCAGTGTACTCTGGACTTTAGGACTGTCCGGGGCAAGTCTAGAACCTACCTACTTTGTTGTGACCCTAACTGAGAAAATACCCAACTGTCTGGATTCATATCTAAGATTTCTACTTAACAGAATTTGGGCAAGTTGCTTTACCTCGCTAAGGCCCCATTTTTGTAAATAGGGCTTTTTTAAAAAGCAGTAATTACTTCATATAGGTTTGAGAGGATTCAGCGAGATAATGCACAGAAGGTCCTTGGCTCAGAGATTGGCACCTAGTAAACTCTCAATAAAGGTTAACTGTTGTTGTTGTTGTTATTATTATTATTATTATTTGAGATGGAGTCTTGCACTGTCGCCCAGGCTGGAGTGCAATGGCGCAATCTCACTGCAACTTCTGCCTCCTGGGTTCAAGCAATTCTCCTGCCTCAGCCTCTTGAGTAGCTGGGATTACAGGTGTCCACCACCACGCCCGGCTAATTTTTGCACTTTTAGTGGAAACGGGGTTTCCCCATGTTGGCTAGGCTGGTCTCAAATACCTGACCTCATGTGATCTGCCTGCCTCAGCCTTCCAAAGTGCTGGGATTACAGGTGTGAGCCATCTAGTCTGGCCAACTGTTATTAATAAAAATTGAGGCCAGGCATGGTAGCTCACACCTGTAATCCTGGCATGTTGGGAGATAGAGGCAAGGAGGATCACTTGAGGCCAGGAGTTTGAGATCAGCCTGCTCAAAATAGTGAGACACCCCCCCGCCCCCCCCCCCCCCATATATATATATATACTTTTTTTTTTTTTTAGACGGAGTTTCGCTCTTGTTTCCCAGACTGGAGTGCAATGGCGCGATCTCGGCTCACCGCAACCTCCGCCTCCTGGGTTCAGGCAATTCTCCTGCCTCAGCCTCCTGAGTAGCTGGGATTATAGGCACGCGCCACCATGCCCAGCTAATTTTTTGTATTTTTAGTAGAGACGGGGTTTCACCATGTTGACCAGGATGGTCTCGATCTCTTGACCTCGTGATCCACCTGCCTCGGCCTCCCAAAGTGCTGGGATTACAGGCTTGAGCCACCACGCCCGGCCTACTTTTTTGTATTTTTAGTAGAGACGGGGTTTCACCATGTTGACCAGGATGGTCTCGATCTCTCGACCTCGTGATCCACCCGCCTCGGCCTCCCAAAGTGCTGGGATTACAGGCTTGAGCCACCGCGCCCGGCACTTTTTTTTTTTTTAAACTCTGCTTCAGGCAAGTGCTCAGTGTGAAGGATCTTTCCATTTTTATTTTTTTTCAGACAGGGTTTCACTCTGTCACCCAGGCTGGAGTGCAGTGGCGTGATCTCGGCTCACTGCAACCTCTGCCTCCTGGGTTCAAGTGATTCTTGTGCCTCAGTCTCCCGAGTAACTGGGATTACAGGTGCCTCAGTCTCTTGAGTAACTAGGATTACAGGTGCGTGACACTATGCCTGGCTCATTTTTTTTTTTTTTTTTTTTTTTTTTTTGGTACTTTTAGTAGAGAGAGGATTTCACCATGTTGGCCAGGCTGGTCTTGAACTTCTGATCTCAAAAGCTCCATCTGCCAAGGCCTCCCAAAGTGCCAGGATTACAGGTGTGTGAGTCACTGTGCCTGGCATTCCTTTTTTTAACTTTTAAGTTCAGGAGCACATGTGCAGATTTGTTATATTATTTTTCCTGATCCTCTCCCTCCTTCTAACCTCCCACCCTTCTACAGGCTCCAGTGTATGTTGTTCCCCTCTGTGTATCCATGTGTTTTCATCAGTTAGCTCCCACTTGTAAGTGAGAACATGTAGTATTTAGTTTTCTGCTTCTGCCTTAGTTTGTCAAGGATAATGGCTGCCAGCTCCATCTATGACCCTGCAAAGGACACAATCTCATTCTTTTTTTATGGCTGCATAGTATTCCGTGGTGTATGTGTACCACATGATCTTTATCTAATCTGTCATTGATGGAGATTTAGGTTGATTCCACGTCTTTGCTATTGTGAATAGTGCTGCAATAAACATACACGTGCATGCGTCTTTCTTCTGTTTTTTCTGTTTTCCTCTGTTGTGCAGGCTGGAGTGCAGTGGCTAGATCTTGGCTCGCTGAAACCTCCGTCCTCTAGTTTCAAGCAATTCTCCTGCCTCAGGCTCCCTAGTAGCTGGCATTACAAGCGTGCACCACCATGCATGGCTAATTTTTGTATTTTTAGCAGAGACAGAGTTTCGTTATGTTGGCCAGGCTGGTCTCAGACTTCCGACCTCAAGTGATCTTCCTGCTCAGCCTCCCAAAGTGCTGGAATTACAGGCATGAGCCACCGTGCCCTAGTGCATGTGTCTGTATAACAGAATGATTTACATTCCTTTGGTTACATACCCAGTAGTAATAATGCAGGTCAAATGGTGTTTCGCTCTTTAGGTCTTTGAGGAATCACCACATTGTCTTCCACAATGTTTGAACTAATTTACACTCCCACCAACAGTGTATAAACATTCCTTCTTCTCCACAACCTCACGAGCATCTATTATTTTTTGAATTTTTAATAATAGCTGTTCTGACTGGTGTAAGATGGTAAAAAGATCTTATCTTAATGGTCAAAGTTACACAGATTAAAGTAAAATAAAAGCCATATTGTGGTAGTTGTGAATTAAGTACTGAATATTCGCCTCCTGCCAAAATACATATTTTGGAGCCCTTAACCCCAATGTGATGGTATTCAGAGATGGAGCCTTTGGGTGGTAATTAGGGTTAGATGAGGTCACCAGGATGAGGTGTTAATAATGGGATTCTATGCCCTTACAACATGACTGGACACCATGGCTCACACCTGTAATCCCAGCACTTTTGGAGGCTGAGGCAAGAGAATCGCTTGAGGCCAGGAGTTTGAGACCAGCCTCGCCAACATAGTGAGACTCCATTTCTACAAAAAGATTAAAAAATAGGTAGGGCATGGTGGCTTATATTTGTAATCCCAGCACTTTGGGAGGCTAAGGCGGGTGGATCACCTGAGATCAGGAGTTTGAGACCAGCCTAGCAAACATGGTAAAACCCCATCTCTACTAAAAATACAAAAATTAGCCAGGAGAGGTGGTACATGCCTGTAATTCCAGCTACTTGGGAGGCTGGGGCAGGAGAATCGTTGAAATCTGGAAGGTGGAGGTTGCAGTTAGCCAAGATTGTGCCCCTGCACTCCAGCCTGGGCAACAGAGTGAGACTCCATCTCGATAAAAAAATTACAAAGTGCCGGACGCAGTGGCTCAAGCCTGTAATCCCAGCACTTTGGGAGGCCGAGGCGGGTGGATCACGAGGTCAAGAGATCGAGACCATCCTGGTCAACATGGTGAAACCCCGTCTCTACTCAAAATACAAAAAATTAGCTGGGCATGGTGGCACATGCCTGTAATCCCAGCTACTCAGGAGACTGAGGCAGGAGAATTGCCTGAACCCAGGAGGCGGAGGTTGCGGTGAGCCAAGATCGCGCCATTGCACTCCAGCCTGGGTAGCAAGAGCGAAACTCCGTCTCAAAAAAAAAAAAGAAAGAAAGAAAGAAAAGAAAAAAGAAAAGAAAATTAGAAAGTAAAAGAAGAGGAGAGACCGGGAGAGCTTACGCTTCCTCCCCATCATGTGAGGACATGGAGAGGAGGCACTGTCCAAAAGCCAAAGAGAGCCCTTACCAGAACCTAAACATGGTGGCATCCTGATCTTGGATTTCCAGCCTCCAAAACTGTGAGAAAAAATGTTTTGTTGTTTAAACTACTCAGTCTATGGTCTTTTGTTATGGTAGCTAATACGCCAATAAACTTTCCAAACTATGTTTCTGTTCTGTTGGTGGATGTTTTCACATGTGACTAGTACTTGTGTTGAGACTATGATCCAGCTGCCCATTTGTTCTTGGCCTCTTGGACTTGAGAACAGATTTGACTTCACCAGTTTGGCCCTCTGTTCTCATGCCTTAAATATGGCCTTGGACAGGGATGTCTAATCTTTGGGCTTCCCTGGGCCACATGGGAAGAAGAATTGTCTTAGGCCATGCATAAACCATGCCTAACACTAACAACTGATGAGCTAAAAAAGAAAACTCATAATGTTTTAAGAAAATTTACAAATTTGTGTTGGGTCAGATTCAAAGCTGTCCTGGGCTGCAGGTGGCCTGTGGACACGGGTTGAATAAGCTTTGCCTAGGGCAGGCATCCCCAAACTACGGCCCGTGGACCGCATGCGGCCCCCTGAGGCCATTTATCCGGCCCCCCGCCGCACTTCAGGAAGGGGCACCTCTTTCATTGGTGGTCAGTGAGAGGAGCACAATATGTGGCGGCCCTCCAACGGTCTGAGGGACAGTGAACTGGCCCCCTGTGTAAAAAGTTTGGGGACGCCTGGCCTAGGGGTTCCTGTCTGGCTCCCTCAGCCCAAACGCAACTCCAACCAGCCCCTGGTCCCACTCTGCTGAGCTTACCTCTGGCCTCCAGGTGAAGGATCAGAAGATGAAATTGCATCAGGAGCCTAGAAGGCACAAAGATACAAGGAAAATGGAATGGTAGGATAAACACTGAATCTAAATTTAGAAATAGAGGGGAAAGTCATAGGAAGGAGGAGAGACAAAAGAAAAAGATTATGTATGTATATATGTATGTATGCATGTATTCAGATACAGAGTCTTGCTCTGTTGCCCAGGCTGGAGTGTAGTGGTGCAATCTTGGCTCACTGCAACTTCCACCTCCCAGGTTCAAGCAATTCTCCTGCCTCAGCCTCCTAAGTAGCTGGGATTACAGGCGCATGCCACCACACCCAGCTAATTGCTGTATTTTTAGTAGAGATGGGGTTTCACATGTTGGCCAGGCTGGTCTCGAACTCCTGACCTGTGATCCACCCACCTCAGCCTCCCAAAGTGCTGGGATTACAGGTGTGAGCCACCGCATCCAGCCCAAAAGAACATTTACTGAATATGCACCAGGCAATGTTTCAAAGGCTTTTATTTATTTCATTTAATGAATGACTTAACCTCATTTAATTCCACAGCTTCATGAAGATGGTATTGTCCTTTTAATTGTTGAATAGTTTGTCCAAACGTTTTGCTCTAGGTGGTAAATGTGAGATTCCTTGGGCTAAAATAAACACCTCTGTGGGGCTTCCAAGGATGTAGACACGAAAAGCTAGATTTCACCTTGATGATGAAGAACCTGTACATCTAGGTTCTTTCCACTGCCCCAGGCTGCCTTGGCTCAGGTCAGCTCTGCAGCCTGGGGAACAGGACTTTATCACTCTGAGGCTGCATTTCTATATCTGAAAATGAGGGAATTGCTGGGCATGGTGGCTCATGCCTGTAATCCCGGCACTTTTTGAGGCCGAGGTGGGAGGACAGCTTGAGCCCAGGAGTTCGAGACCAGCCTGGGCAGCATAGTGGGACCCTGCCTCTACAAAAGTATTAAAAAGTTAGTCAAGTGTGGTGGCACAGGCCTGTATTCCCAGCTACTCAGAAGGCTGAGATGGGAAGATCCTTTGAGCCAAGGAGGTTGAGGCTACAGTGGGCTGAGATCGTACCACCGCACTCCAGCCTGGGTGACAGAGTGAGACCTTCTCTCAAAAAAAAAAAAAAAAAAAAAAAAAAAAAAAGAAAAGAAAAGAAAAGAAAAGAAAATAGGAATACATAAATGCTTGCCACACTACTTCAGAAGGCTAGTGTGAAGATCTGATGTGTCAATGTAAAGCAACAAAATGCATGAGAGGCAAAAACCCACATAGATTCACTTCAATACCTGGTCATAGTTCCCATTCCAAGGAGGTTACCATATAGCTTGGGGGCGTAACTTAAACCAAGTGACAAGAATACATATGTGACTGAAGTATTAGCCATCTGGATGTGACCAAAGTCTTCTGGCCTTTTGGGGATACCTCATCCTTTAATATTTGAATAAAATCATTTTGAACTCATTCTGTATAATGAGAAAATTGCCATCACTCCCAGTATTTCTGAGAATTTTTTATCTTTTCAATAAATAATCTTTATACACTTTCAGTGTGCTAGATCCTGGGTTCTCTGCTGTCATGGTGCTTCATAAAGAACCAATCAAGATAATTTGCTAAACACAATTCTTGATGAGGAATTCTACTGTTACCTTTTTTTTTTTTTTTTGAGATGGAGTTTTGCTCTTGTTGCCAATGGTGCAATCTCAGCTCACTGCAACCTCCGCCTCCCAGGTTCAAGTGATTCTTCTGCCTCAGCCTCCCAACTAGCTGAGATTACAGGTATGCACCACCATGCCCAGCTAATTTTTGTATTTTTAGTAGAGACAGGGCTTCACCATGTTAGCCAGCCTGGTCTCGAACTCCTGACCTCAGGGATCCACCAGCCTCGGCCTCCTGAAGTGCTGAGATTACAGGTGTGAGCCACCTCTTGCTCCGCTCAAACTCCTGGGCTCAAGTAATCCTCCTGCCCAGCCCTCTACTGTCACCTTTATACAGGCTTTTTTGGTTTTTCCTCCTCCAGGATGCATTATAAGACAACAGTATGACAAACAGTAATATTAGAGAGGAATACAGAAGATGCCACAACATTGACACATCAATAGCTCAGGCAATAGAAGAGGACAGTGAATTCACATGGGGGTTGAACTGGAGTCCAGAGGCTTTCAGGAAAAGGAAAGTCCGGAGTTGAATTTTAAAGGATGGGTTGTACAGAAACAGGAAGAGAAGGGGAAGGAACAGGATGTTGGGGAGATGAGTAGTAAAGAGTTAGATGAGTAGTAAAGAGTAGTAAAGATTAACAGCAAGGACTCTAGACTCAAACCCTGTTCTGTCACTTGCTCACTTGGTGACTTTAGCAAATTACTTCATTTCTCTAAGACTGAGTTTCCTTATCTGGAAAACAGGTAGTAATGGTACATTCCTTAAAAGTCTGTGGTCAGAATTAAATGAGAAAACGCATGTAAAAGTACCTGAAATAGAAGAGAACAATCTAGCTTAAGGGAAAATAAGAAGTGAAGAATCTATATTAGGATCTTTACACTTTAACTAATTATATATATATATATATATATATATATATATATATATATATATAAATAATTAGTTAAAGCCTAATTTTTTTTGAGACAGGGTCTCACTCTGTTACCCAGGCTGGAGGGCAGTGGCACGATCTTGGCTCACTTCAACCTCTGCCCCCTCGGCTTAAGTGATCCTCCTATCTCAGCCTCCCGAGTAGCTGGGACTACAGACATGTGCTACCATGCCCAACTTTTTTTTTTTTTTTTTTTTTGTATTTTTAGTAGAGACAGGGTCTCACCATGTTGCCCAGGCTGGTCTCGAACTCCTGAGCTCAAGCAATCCACTCATCACCGGCTCCCAAGGTGCTGGGATTACAGGCATGAGCCACCACACCCAGCCATTAGCCAGTTATTAAAATGATACTTTTGGATTACCTGATACAAGTGACTTTTTCCCTGTACTTCTGTTCTAGTTTAATGTTTCCACCAATCTTGTAGGCAGATTTGATCATAAATGAAATCATTCTAAACTCAATGTCTTCTGTATGAGAAAAATCATTATCACTCCCAGTATTTCTTTGTCTTTTATTTTTGAGACAGAGTTTCCACTCTTGTTGTCCAGGCTGGGGTGTAATGACACCATCTCAGCTCACTGCAACCTCTGCCTCCTGGATTCAAATGATTTTCCTGTCTCAGTGTCCTGAGTATCTGGGAATACAGGCATGCACCAGCACACCCAGCTAATTTTTGTATTTTTAATAGAGATGGGGTTTCACAATGTTGGCCAGGCTGGTCTTGAACTCCTGACCTCAGGTGATCCACCTGCCTCAGCCTCCCAAAGTTCTGGGATTACAGGCATGAGACACCATGCCCAGCCCCTCTGAGAATTCTTTATCTTTCCTACTTAACATCTCTCCTTCTTATACCTTGTAGAGCTCTGGGAAGAAAGGCTGCCCAGAACACCTGTGAGGCCATCTCAGTCCTTGCTGAGTTTAACACATGACCCAGACAAGCACTAAGGGCAGAGAGCACTGGTGATGTGCTGAGCTCCAGAGCTTCAGTATCAACAACAACCTCCTACAATTATAGCCTTAGCAGACTGTGGAGCTGAATCTTTATTCTCTATTTGCTGAACTTCCTGGGAGACTTCTGCAAAAGGGAGGTGATAACTGCCTTTTGCAGAAGTGAAAATCGAGGCTCAAGAGAGCTAAATACTTTCCCCAAAGTTTCTACGTCCCTTTGCCCACAGAGCCTCTGACTCCAAATTTTTCCATTCCTTCTGTAAAACAAAACAAAACAAAACAAAAAACTCCAAGAGAGATTAAACCCTGAAATGCTTAATAACAAATAGTTTGGTGGAGGATTTACTTCCTTATAACTCGTTTTCTGAACAAGGGTAGATTTTACCAGTGGGATAGAATTAGTGTGCCTAGGGGGAGGATTAGGAGTGGGAGACCAACACCAACTTTCTTAGACTTCGTCCACTTCACATTTAGCCATGGAAAATAATTAGCCAACTATAAATCAATAAGGAATACCAGACATCAGGCTTTTCTAATCAGAACCCAACCCAAAAGTCTCCCAGGAAGTTTAGCAAATAGAGAATAAAGATTCAGCTCCACAGTCTGCTAAGGCTATAATTGTAGGAGGTTGTTGTTGATACTGAAGCTCTAGAACTCAGCACATGACCAGTGCTGTCTGCCCTTAGTGCTGTCTGGGTCACCAGTTCAGCTCAGTGAGGATCGAGGTCGCCTCACAGGTGTTCTGGGGACGGTCTTTCCTCCCAGAGATCCCTGTGGCACATCTTGTCGGGGAGGGCCCTGCAAGGTATAAGAAGGAAAGATGGTAAGTAGAAAGAGATGAAGGAAGGCAGGGTGTGGTGGCTCATGCCTGTAATCCTAGCACTTTGGGAGGCTGAGGTGGGCAGATCACCTGAGGTCAGGGGTTCGAGACTGGCCTGGGCAACATGGCAAAACCCCCTCTCTACTAAAAATACAAAATCAGCTGGGCGTGGTGTCACACACCTGTAATTCCAGCTACTTGGGAAGCTGAGGCAGGAGAATCACTTGAACCTGGGAGGCAAAGGTTGCAGTGAGCCATGATTGCACAATTGCAGTCCAGTCTGGGCAACAAGAGCAAAACTCCATCTTAAACAAAAAAACAGAAGGAAAAAGAAAGAGATGAAGGAGTGTGAGGGACAGACAGAGAGGAGAGAGGGAAGGAAGGAGGTAGAGAAAAGGAGAGTCAGAAAGATAGAGAAATTAGAAACAGGATACAAAAACAAAGGACAGGACGGATATAGCAGTATGCCCCTATAATCCCAGCGAATCAGGAGGCTGAAGTGGGAGGATCAGGAGGATGGCTTGAGCCTGAGGGTTTGAGGCTGCAGTGAGCTACAGTTCCACTGCTGCACTCCAGTCTGAGCAAGAGAACAAAATCCTATCTCAAATAAATAAATGAGTAAATAAAATAAAAAAGTAAACAGAGGGCAGGAAAAGAAAACAGAATCCCTAATACCAGG